TCATGCAGGCTGCAATAACACGTCCTCGAGGTCAGTCACAGGTGGCAGTGACATCAGCTGGGAATGGAAGGCATAAACACTGCTGGTCTTGGTATGCGACATGAGGGAAGTATAGATATGAAATGAGCAGGGCATGTCGGTGGCATTATCGCTGTCGTGAGAGACGCCGGAGCCAGCTGGGAATCGGAGAAGAGGGCTTTGATTTCGTCGGATTTAAGGGGCGATTATTCATCTTCAAAACAGGAGGTAAGGTACTGCACAGCGGGGACGAAGAGACGGCTATGTTACGCGGAATGAGAAGCCCAAAGGGGCGGTTGAGGTTCCTCGAGCCTCAAGATCCCGTTCCAAAGTACACACCTGTCCAACCCCCCCCCCCCCCCCCTTCCCTAGACAGGACGCCACACGAAGGACACGGGACTTACCTGAGCAACGCTGGAGGCTGCGAACGTCCTTGTTCTTCGGCTGCGTCTTCGGGAGGGCCTTCTTCGTGGCGCTCTTCCTGCCGATCGCCCTCGCCGCTTTCGGCGGGCGAGGCGGGCGAGCTGCCGCAGGCGGGGGCGTCGCCCTCGGGGGCTGGCTGTGCCACCTCCTTGGCACTGGCAGCGGGAGCGGGCTGCCGCAGGGCACCCGACGGGTCCGCCGCCGCCTCCTTGACCTGCAGCGTGAGCGCGGAGAGCGCCTGCAGCTGGCCGGAGGGGCAGGGCGCCAGGGCCTTCCCGGCCTGGCTGCCGGGGGGCGTCCTCGCGACCATCGCCTCGCCGTCCCCGTCCAAGGCGCTGTCAGAGGCGCCGTCGGCCTGGCTCGCGTGTCGGGCTGTCACTGGCACCAGCGCCTTGTCATGGCACGCGCGCGCGGCACTGGCGGCGCGGGCGGGGCTCTCGAGCTCGTCCTCGGACCCCTCGAAGATCTCCTCGTACGAGCGCTCCTCCTCGTACTCGAACTGCGCTTCCTCGCACGGCGGCACTCGGGCACTGGCACGGCACTCGGCCCCGTGGGCGTCGCGGGCGTCGCGGGCGTGGCGTGGGCGGGAGGGAAGCTGGCGCGGGGCAGCGAGGTGAGGCGGGCGTGGGTGGCGGTGAGTGCCCCGTGGCAGACTGTGGCGAGCGAGCATCGAGGCGGCCGCGCTCTGGCCAGCGCCGGGGGGGGCGGGGCAGGGGGAGGCCCGCCCGGGGGAGGGCCCGCACCCCCCTCCTGGGGCCTGCCGCTCGGGCACGCGCCGCCGTCGCTGCCGCAGAGGCGTCCTCGGGAGCGCTCTGACCTCCGGGCGCGGCGGAGGGCGGCGGGGGGTCACCGGTGGTCCCGGGGGGTCCTCCCTCTCGCCCGGCCCGGGGGGTCTCGCCCCCCTCCCTCGGCCTCCCCTGGCCCTCGGGGAAGCCTCCGTGGCCCGCTCCTCCGGCGGCGTCGTCCTCGTCGCTCTCGTCCTCGAGCCCACCTGCGGGAAGGGAAACATGAGGTCAGTCCAGCAGCGTCTGGCACGAAGCGAGCGCCCTCACCCGCCGCTCATCGGCCGAGGCGACCCGAGCAACACATGGCACAGGAAACACATGCTGCCCGCACATGGCGTGACATTCGTCATCTCCCGCCATCCCTTCCGTCCCCATGCCCTCCCCCTCCTCCTCTCCTCCCTCCCCTATCCATTTTCCTCTTCCCCTCTCCTTCCTCCCCTACACCCCTCCCTCCCCTCCCCTCACCCCCAACCTCTTCCTCACCCTCCCACACCTTCCCAAACCCTCACCTCCCCGTCCTCTCCCTCTCCTCCACCTTCCCAAACCCTTCCCTCCCCGTCCCTCCCGTCCCTCTCCACACCCTTCTCCCCTCCCTCCCCGCCCCTCCCTCCCCGCCCCCTCCTCCGGCCCCCCCCCCTCCCCCGTGGACAAAACGGACAAACAACCCGACACCCTCTTACACAGCGTCTGAGATCGGAGCAAACATCGCGTCGGGAGGCAGGCAGGCAAAGTATCCGAAGACGAACTCCGCAAACGGACTCCCGCAAACGAACTTAACAAACCCGACGGACTTCTCAAACGTCCCAACGGCTCCTCCTGCAAACAGAGCCCCGGCAAACGGACCGACGGACCAACGGACGGACGGAGGAGGACGTACGAACGGAGGAACTCGACGGAGACGCGACACCCCGGCCAGTCTCCGAGGCGGCCATGTTGTTCCCGCGCTCAACTGACCCTTTCATCCCGGTGCCAGCGGGCCCGTCACGTGACTCAACTTGCAACTTGCAACTCGCCGCCGGGACTTGCCAGGTACGGCCAGGGAGGAGGAGGAGGAGCGAGGGAGGAGGAGGAGGAGGAGGGCGAGGGAAGGGAGGAGGAGGAGGCGGAGGGAGGGGAGGAGGAGGAGGAGGAGGCCGAGGGAAGGAAGGGGGAGGAGGAGGAGAGGAGGGGGAGGAAGGAGGGGGAGAGGAGGAGGAGGAGACGACGGGGGAAGGAAAGGGGAAAGGAGAGAGATACGTTGGTGGAACGTGTATTTGTGTGTATAACGAGAGAGGAGAAGAGAGAGAGAGAGAAAGGGGGGGAGCAGACGAAAGAAACTGGAGGTAGGGGGGGGGTTGAGAAGGGAGGGAGAGAAGAGAGAGAAGAGAGACGAGAGAGAGCGAGAGAGAGAGAGAGAGAGAGAGAGAGAGAAAAGAGAAGAAGAGGATGAGGGAGAGGGGAGAGAGACAGAGATAGATAGATAGAGAGAGAAAGAGACAGACAGACAGACAAGACAAACAAACAGAAAGAGAACAGAGAGAGAAGAAGAAAGAGAGAACAGCGAAACCTGCAAGAGGGGCAAAGACCCGGTTCCCTACTTTCCCTAACTTCCCGACCTTATCCCTTGCTCTCGCTGCAACACAGGCACCCGAGTCATTGCAAGAACAAGCGACTCAATTTGCACACTATGCCCCTCTGCAAGTCACCGTGGAAATGAAAGGACCTTGCGAAAACCTGGGTACGCCTCGACCGCATCTCAGACAACGGACTGTAAATCTATAACGACATGAAACGACATAAAATATATATAACAAACAACCACACATAGATAGAACAAATACGTTAGCTAACACACGAAACAAAAAACAAGTAGATTGCCCGAATACCATTAAAAAAACAATCAATAAAATACAAAATAAACTAAGAGAATGATACAGGAAAAGATAAATAAATAATAGAGAGTTATTTACACTCTTAACAGAACCCACAAAGAACGGAGAACCAGGCCCCAGAACTGGCAAATTTAACAATAGAATCAGCTCCATTGTGACGCTCCATCCTTGGCGAGGAGGAGGTCACACTCTCGAGATAATCGGTGGCCAGGATGAAGACAAATAGAACGAACACGTGATAAAATAAAGACGAATAAAAGTTATGTGAATCGTAGAATGACGTTAATTGTGAAAGGAATTGCCATTGAGAGAGAGAGAGAGAGAGAGAGAGGGAAAGAATTGCAT